CAGAATCAAAGCAGCCAACGAAAACATCCGGAAGAGCAAAAAAACCATTCCAAGCATGCTAACGCGGCAGCCCCCCACCCCACGCCCATTCCCCCATATATACCTATACATACATATATAAAATATATACTCGAAAGAAATTCTACGCATAATATGAATGTTCATATTCAAGACACCCCTAGCAGCAATACGCAATTCGTGTCAAGAAGAACTGTTGAAACGGACTTGCTGTCATGTCGCTAATAACGCGGAGGCAAGTGAGGCCCGCAACATCTGCTGCATCAAGAAGAGCCTGTCTGTTTTGTTCTCTAAACCAAGAAGGGCAAGCAATCACAACTTCTCCAACGGGCCTCTGCGTGCTGGCTTCTGCTACGTGCTTCAACTTGGTTAGAAATGCAGCACAAATACGGACAGCGCCCACCACCTCCTCCTGATCCCCCAAGCGTACCTGCAGCACAGACACTCATAGAAAAAAAACAACAGTTGAATGGGATTAGCGCTTAGTGTTAAATGCGTCTGCTCTTCCCAACGACCTTTCTGATTTGCAAGAGTTTACTCTTCAACACAAATTTGTTGTTCTGAATGGGATTTCTGTTTTGAGTGGGTTTGCTGTTTTGGATCTATCTGCTGTTGGCGCAGACGGCAAGGAACACACACATGCGGTGAGAAACTTAAGATCTAAACCAAAGAAGAGAAATACGGGGGAAAAGCAAAAGGTGGCGAAGATACGGCAAAACGGCAGAGACGCATAGCATGACTGACCTCCACATCACTGACGGGAAAACAAAGAAAAAAACAAGAGATATGAACCCAACACCGCCACAGACGGAGAGGCAGACAGGGAAGTGCAGGGAGATACAGAGCGGTAAACATACTAAAGATGGCAGGGAGATTGAACGAACAAAACAAGCACACGCAAGCAAGCAAACAACCAAAGGCAAACGGAGAATGTTAAACAAACAAACGAGCAAACAAACGAATGTCAGCACGAACACGGGCGAACAAGCAAACAATAGCTGAATACACAAACAAGGCAAACCAAACAAAGCTCAGCAGGCATACAAGCACACGAACAAGCAAATGGAGTGAAACCAACAAGCTTAGGTGAACAAATAGAGCTAAAGAACCGCAAAAACAAAGAAACAAACCAACGCACATACACGCACGCATGCATACACACAGAGACGAGAAAAACACTCAGAAGAAAACAAACAAGCAAACAAACGAACAAACAAGCAAGCAGGCTTACGCGGTACCCCGCCACCCCGCCTTCCGCTTCTGCAATTTCGGCCAATTGGAATCCCCTTTCGCGGCCAACGCGAGGAGAATCCGCAAACATTTCCCCCAACAAATTCTTGAAGGCGCGGCAACACGCCTTTGCCTGACTCCTCACCTAAACAGCAAAACAACGAAGCAGAAAAGCGAAAAAAAAAACACACAGAACGATATCATGCACAAAGACGAAGGCATCGTCCCAACCAGCGCGAAGGGGATGAGGAGAGACGCCAACGAACAAGAAGGACGTATTAACACCAACACAGTTCGCTACAAACCCCGGACAAAAATGACTGCACGGCGTAACCTCAGAAGGAAGCTGTACACCGTACACTATCCCCTCAGGGCCTCATGCACCTAGACCCCAAACATCCAGGGGCAGGATCTGAAGAACAGTAATGATGCTGGGAAAATAATGGCACAGACGACCACGCCCTAGGGAACTCCGCAACAAACCCTCAAAAGAAAAGCAAAACGAGAAGCAAAACCCACACAAGCGTCAACCCAGGCATGAACGTAAATCGAGACTGCTATAGACGAATTCTGCTGCAGACGGTCTCCTTCAGAAGCAACAAATGTCTGCATGCATTAGCATGCAGCTCTGTTGTTCCCCTTTTTGTCGTTACGGCAGATGTTGCTGCTGCCCCTGTCCCTGCTGTTGCGGCTGCTGCTCCTACTCCCAAGAGCATGAAGACAGTAGTGTGCGTTGATGGGGCTGCACGGGAGGCTTGTATGCGCGTACCAGCGGGGCTGCATGATCTCCCATAAGTCTGTGGCCTTGAGAAAAGAGTACGAGAGAAGGAGTAAGGCGGTCAGCCAGCTCGGTGCGAATGACAGAGACGGCGCCCCTGTTGATGGTCGCCAAGACACTGTTCTGTGTGCCTAGGTCAATACCCAACACCGCCATTGTCGTGCGCTTAATTACTTCTAAACACGAAACTCAGAAAGAAAAGAAAAACAACACTCTACGCAGCAGGAGCAGGAGGCCCGCTGCTACAAGCTCCGGGCGACACGAGGACACCAGCGCCAACGACTCAAACAAAAACTGAAAAAATGAATTTGTCTTTAAATACTCGAAACAATAAAAACGCAGCTGACAACCTAAAACAAGCACAACGCTTCCCTCAAGCCTCTCTAGTGGGGGCTCTTCTGCCGCAGCAGCTTCTGTTGGTGCTATGCTGCTACACAGCTTTCTCACAAATTGTGCTTCAAGGCACTCGTGTTTTTCTTTATTTAAAGTAAAAACAGCGGCTGCAACTTACCCAAACCGAGAACGATAGCAAACCCAGCCAGTGCACACGCCCCAAAGCCCTCACACCTCTGACTCCCCCACACTTGCTGCCTTCATTTGCATCGTGTGTTCAGTCAGCAGCAAAAAAGCTTGTGGGAGAGGCTAACGAACGCATTAAGTGCATAAATGCAATTAATGTGTCACACAAGCTACTGCCACTGTCTAGACATGCCCTGCACTGCTGCCTTACGTGCACCATTGAAGTGTAGTGCGCACTGGACCTAAGTTTGTGTGTGGTTTGTAGTATTTTGCGCTCTTCGATGTCCCTTTTTCTTGTACGATTATCAAGCAAGGTACAACAGGTTGTTGCAGAGATGATTGTAGCACGGACGGTGGGAGTTCTGGGGTACTGCTCGGCTCGTCTGTAGCTGGCTTGACCTTGGCGTATGTGCAGTATGTTGTTCTATCTGAAGTTCGCACTTATCTGTTCGTTCTTGCAGTCTGGCTA